TGGAGTTATACTCCGAAACGTAGTTATTAAAATAATTTTTTACTAAGCCCATATGGTCTAATTTATATTCAAACACACGTACATATTCATTTACATTTTGCTGGCAGGCAAATTCCGATCACACAATAAATTCTTTGAAAAATAACGTACCAGTGTATTGACTAAAAACTATAAAACTGGTAAATTAAAAAACAATTCAAACAATCGCGAAAAATGGCAACGGCATAAAAGTCACAGTTACAAGTCAATTTACCTACCTGTGAAATGAAATTTTCTCGCAAGAACATCTCTTTCCTTGTGCATCCAGAACGACATTACGACACAATATATTTGAAAAAGTGATTCTTTTCTCCACACGGGGAAGTTTTCCTCGACTTTTTCCGACAGCGAAGTCAATGCAGTAAATTTTAGGAGCAAACAGTTTGCTCCTAAAATGTATTGCATTGAGTTGGCCATGTTTTTAATTTTTTTTTCGTGATTGCGTTCAAATTTATACTGGCCGTGCAACGGTTTGCGAGAGGGGGAATGAAACTTACGTCCAATCCGCGTAAACCTGACGTTTGAGGGACTGAGACTGACGTCCAATCCGCGTGAAAGACTGGTATCGAGGCTTTATTGTTTTCACAATCAAATGACTGAATGTTATCGTTCCAGATATATATATATATATAGAGAGTTCACTGGCGGGCAGTTGCATTTCACAGCGGGCAGTTGCGTTTCAGAGCGGGCCGGTTGCAAAAAACCGGCCCGCTCTGAAAGGCTCTCAGCCAATCAGATTGCTTCATTTTCACTGATAAAAAATAATTAAAGATAAGCCTACCTTTTGTTGCTCTAAAGCATTCAACCAGCGATAATAGACAATATCAATTTTCCCATCACCATTAAAATCAACCAGTCTCAATCCAGTGTCAGCTATACCGTCAACGGCAGTTTGATGTGGAGGTATATATTGTCGCGCCCAGACCCACTTCTTGCCGTTATTGAGATACGCCCCTTTCTGTTGAGAGAAGAGATTTATCCATCGATTGTATATCAAGTCTGCCTTCCCATCACCGTTGAGATCTGTAAATCTTGCTCCCAGATCACCATGGCCAGGAGCGGCGATATGAAATGGTGGGATGAAGTCTGGTGCACTGGCCCAACCATTACCAGTATTAAGATAAGCTCCCTTTTGTTGCTTCTTTCCGCTCAGCCACCGATGATATACAAAGTCAATTTTACCGTCACCGTTAAGTTCCACAAACCGTGCACCTAAATCTTCCTTACCATCGAAAGTAGCGATATGGAATGGTGGAGTATACTGTGGGGCCCAACGCCACCCATT